CGTGGGTCCGCGGGCCTCCCGCCCCGGGTGCCCGACGCGTTCCTTTCTCACCCGAGGAGAAGAGCGCCGCGGCCGGCGGACGACACTGATGAGAAACCAGCTGTGGACAGGGGAAGGGCGCTCTGTCGGTCACCGCAGTGTGTTCCCTGGATCGTGGAAGCCGTTGACCCCCAGCCCCCGGGAAGTGACGGGCCTCAGTGCCCGCTCGCCTCCGGGTGCGAGGTTTGAATGCACGTGTGTGTGTCCAGGGGCAGGTGGCAGTGTGGCGGCTGCGCCCCGTCTCCGCGATCTCGGGCACCTCGTTTCACGCGGGCCTCGTTTCCTCGGCGCCGTGGGCGATAGTAGTTTGTTCCCGAGGGGCTGCCGAGTTCCGTCTAGGACCAGAAGTACCATTTCTCCCTCCCTCCCCGTTGTCGTCCCTGCAAGTAGTGGGATTACTAGTCAGTAGTCCGAGTGGTTGGTTTGAGGAGACCCTCCTCCAGAAGCGTGAACCTGCCTCGCTGCGGGCTTCCAGGACAGTTTGATCTGTCGGCCTTCGCCTCCTGTGTTTGAGGCTCTGTCGTTTGGTGTGTCCGCATTTAGGACTCACTTGTCTTCTAGGTCGGTGTCTTATTGTTGTGCAGAGCTCCCCCTTGTCCCCGGTAACTTTCTTTGTAGCCTACTTTATTAGGTATTCATGTTGCCCTTCCTGCTTCTTGCGGGTGAATGTTTGCGGGGGGTTAGCTTTCAGGCTATCTGCGCTGTTGAATTGGAAGTGAGTGACTTGTTGAGTCCCGTCTTTCCCTTATGCGCTCCATCAGTCTCTGTCTTTTGATTGCTATATTTTAAGCCATTTACACTTAAGGTAGTTACTGATGCATTAGAGCATAAGTGTGCCATTTTATTATGTTTTCTGTGGGGATTTTTTTGTGTGTTTTTTCTGACTCTCATTCCTCTGTTTCTCCTCTTGTCTTCCTTTGGGTTACTTGAACTTCTTTTGTTATCTCTACAGTGTTTTTGAGTGTAGGTCTTTGTATAGTGTTTGTAGTGTTTCCTCTGAGCATTGCATGTACACCTGACTTATCAACATGGTGGGTTGGTATCAGTATTTTCCTGTGTGAAGTGTGGAAACCTGGCTTCCATTCTGGCCCCTTTACCCTCCCCCCCACTTTAAAATTATGTTCTAAGTATCAGATGGTGTTATACTTTTTGTTTAAATCATGGAATGATTTAAAACTAATGATGATAAGTCCATTGTATGTACACATATTTTTGCTGTTTCTGCCTGCCTGGCTTCCTTCCTTCCTAATGTTCCAGGGTTCATTCTCATTTCATTTCCACTGGAAGAACTTTATATAGCCAATCTTGATATTTCTTTTATCTCAGAATGTCTTTATTTCATTCCAGGATAGTTTTATTCAATATCAAATTTCTAGTTGACAATTCTTAGCTCTTAAAAACATGTTCCACTTCCTCCGATCCTTCATTGCTCCGATTAGAAGTCTGCCGTCATTCGAATTGGTGTTCTGTAGGCAATACGTCATCTCTCTCTTTGGCTGCTTTCAAATTTTTTCTTTGTCTTTAGTTTTCAGCAGTTTAATTATGGTGTATCTTGGTGTGGATTTCTTTAGGTTGATGTTATTTGGTATTCATTAAGCCTCTTGAATCTGTTGATTTTTTTGTTTCACCAAATATAGGGAGTTTTTAGCCATTATTACCTCAAGTACTCTTTCATTTCATGCTTTCTCCTCTCCTCTCCTTTCAGAATTCCTGTGCTACCAAGGTTGGATCTTTTGTTAGTGTTATGTAATTCCCTTAGGCTTTTTTTTTTCAGTCTCTTTTCTCTGTGTTGTTTAGATTGTGTAAATTCTGTTTATTTGTTCTCAAGTTCCTTAATTCAGTCCTCTGTCATCTTCACTCTGCTGTTGATTCCACACAGTGATGTTTGATTTTTAGTATTTTATTCTTCAGTTTTGTAATTTCTATTTGTTTCAAAAGAATATATAATTGGTTGATGAAGCGTTTTTATGTTTTCAGCTTAAAATGCTTGTAACAGAATTTTAGTGTCTAAGTTAATCTTAGTTTTTTGGTGTCAGTTGATTGTCTTTTCTGATTCACATTGTGAGTGTTCTGATTCTTGGTGTGACTGTTGGTTTTCAGTTGTGCCCTGAGTATTTTGTCTGTAATGTTAGGAGAATGTGGGTCCTATCTATCTCTTTTCTAATGGGATTCCTTTGCAGTCAAAGAACATACTTTATGTGATTTCACTTATTTTAAATTTGTGCAGTTTGTTTTGTAACTGAGCATATAGTCTATATTGGTAAGAATTTGAAGGCCCTTGGAAAGAAAGTGTATTGTGGTGGTGTTGTGAAATGTTCTGAAGTGTTGGTCAGATCCTGTTAGTTAATGGTGTTGAGTTCTGTCTTGCTAGTTTTACTGTCTGGTGGTTCTGTCATTTGTTTAGAATGGGGTGTTGAAGTCTCTGATTATAATTGTGGGTTTTTCTATTTCTCCTTTTAGTTTATAAGTTTTTGCTTCACTTGTTTTGCAGATCCCTCATTTGGTGCATACACATTTGGGATTGCTTTGTGTCCTTGATGGACTGACACTTTTAAGTGTTATTACCTAATTTGCCTGTCTGTCTCTCGTAATTTTTTTGCTCTGAAGTTTACTTTCTCGGACATTTTTATAACCACCCCTGCTTTCTCTTGACTAACGTTTGCCTGGCATATACTTTTCCAACCTCTTACTCGTAATCTCCTTATGTTAGAAGTGAGTTTCTCATGGTTGGTTTATATTTTGTATCCACTGTGCCAGTCCTTATCTTATGGTTATTGTATTTAGAACATTTGTGTTCAGTGTAATGATTGATAAATTGGGGCTCATTCTGCCATTTTACTTTTTGTTTCCTGTGTGTTTTGTTTCTCAGTTTTCTTTTCCCTGCCTTCTTACTGGGACTTTTTTTAGAATTCCATTTTCATTTATCTGTGGTGTTTTTAGTGTATCTCTTTGTATAGATATTATTTAGTGGTTTGTCTAGGTATCATACATACATAACTGTCACAGTATAATGGTGTTGCTATTTTATCAGTTTGAGTACAGGTTAGAATTCTTACCTTTTAACATTCTTTAATGTGCCCTGTTGGTAATGTAATTGTCTTGTAAAAGTATATGTAAATTTTACATATGTAAAAACATATAAATATTTCTCTGGTATACAGTTAGAACCAGATAACAGACAATGTTATAATTTTTGCTTTATCTTTCAAACATAATTTATAAGATTCAGGAGGAGAAGGAAAGCCTATTGTACTGACTCATGTTTTTTTTCTCTCTGTTCTCTTATTTCCTGATATCCCAGAATTCTTTATTTTATTATTTCTGTTCTGTTTTAAGAATTTATTAGCTATTCTTTTAAAGTAGGTCTGCTGGAAACAATTATCTGAGAATACCTCATTCCTCCTTATTCCTGAAGGGTAATTTCAGCAGATACAATTTGGGGATGACAGTTCTTTTATTTCAGCACTTGAAAAATGTTCAGCACTTTCTGGCCTCCATGATTTCTGATGCGAAATCTGATGTCATTTGAATGTTTTTCCTCTGTAGGTAAGCTGTGATTTCCCACTACTTTCAAGCTTTTTTCTTTGTTTTTAGTTTTCAGTGGTTTCATTACTATGGTTCTTAACATGGTTTCTTTGGGTTTGTACTGTTTAGGGTTTACATAGCTTATTGACTCTACAGTGATGCACTGCATAGTGATGTCTCAGTTAATGACAGACTGTGTAAAGGAAAGGTGTCCCATAAGATCATAATGCAGCTGAAAAATTCCTATTGCCTAGTGATATCCTCGCCACCATAAAGCTGAAACTTAGTGTATTACACAAATACTTACCATTGTGTTACAGTTGCCTGCAGTATTCAGTACAGTAACATATTATACAGGTTTGTAGTCTAGGAGCTGTAGGAGAACAGAAAACAAAGTATGTTTTCTTGGCATAAAGATTATTTTAGGTTAGTTAATTTTTAGAAACAGTAGATATGGGAGAAGCTCTGAAAACCAAGTAGGTACCCTTTGTAAAAGACATTTATATTTGTAAGGGAAATCTCCATTTTAATGGTGTCTCTTGCTATATTAGGAAAGGGGGATGACTTTATCTCTAGCAACTCTTATGCCTGAGGAAGACAGGACTTAAGTCTGAATAACAACTTTACCTGTGCTTTTCCTGGTCACCTCCCATAACTGACTCCCCCCACCCCCACCATCTTCCATCTTCAACTGAAGTGGTGGCATTAGCCATTTTTGGCGAGTTGCTCAGCTTTCCTGGGGAGACATTTGTACAGGAGGCATATGGGTTATTAAACTTTTGTCTATTTTTCTCTTGTTAATCAATGTCTTTTATTACAAGGGCTCTCAGGTCTCAGCCAAGAACCCAGAAGGGTGGAGGGAAAATTATTTTCCTCGCCTACAGAGCAACAGGCTATACCCTACTGCCTAAGTGTGCCATCAAGGTCTGTATAAAGACCTGTGTGTTCACACAACAGCGAAATAGCCCAACAGTGCATTTCTCAGAACCCATCTTTCCAGCCATTCAAATTGTCTTGCTTAGCAACTGGAGAATCAGTGATTGGGCGCGGTTTGATTTGTCCGTGTCTGTTGGAACCTTCTCTTGCTTCCCTCTGCCATGTGATGTGGCTCTTGGCCCTGCCTAGAGGTGTTTGCAGTGTTGTAGTTAAACTTTAGTGTTTACAAAGGGACTCCTGCTGAGAACAGATGTCTACCGTCTGGTTATCTCTAAAATATTTCTTGTTAGACGCAACACAAATTTTTTTAATGCTAGTTTTCTCATTCTGAGTGTCTATACACACTTTTCTTTGAATCTTGAAAATTTTTATAACTATGATGAGCATGTAAAAATATTTTACTAATTGTAAAGATGAAACTTGGCTCTGCTGTGACAATTTACAGTTAAAAAGCTTTTCTAAGCACAGAGTGATCCTTAGGACAGCATTTATCAAAGTGCCCAGGCCCAGGATTCCTCAAAATCAGGGACGTGCTCTAAGATTTATAACGTTTCCTTTCAGGTGGGTCTGTGGTTCACTCAAGTTTGTGACATTGGTTAGGCTGCCAGAGTAGAAATGTCTCACTTAACTTTCTACAGCTGGCATTGTGGTCACATGGACAGAGTTGGTGGTTCGGAACATCAGTTTTAGGCAACTGTCGTGGGCTAACTGCCCACGTATCTTCAAACTTCTGGGCTGGCATTGACATAACATTAGATATTGTACCATTAACTCTAGTTTAGAGGTTTGTCTCAATTTATGTATAGTGTTGGTGTAATTCTTATGTCAAGAAATTGGTATTTAAATTTGTTACAGAATATTTTAGAAGAGGAGTCAGTAGCTCCAAGGTTACTGTGTACACAGTTCATGTGGGGGCCCCTCTCAGCTTGAGAGACCGACTGACCCTTTTCCTTGTTGCTTCTGCTACTCAGGCCAAGGCCTGCTTTTCAGGCACCTCCTTTCTTTCTTTACTGTGTTCTATAGTTTATCTCTTCTCCTGTAGGAGGGAGACTTCCAGTTTCTTGGGGGGTCCATGTGGTTTTGCTACTTACTAATGACTCACCAGTGACATAATTGAACTTGGAAGCTGTATTTGATGAAGGAAATATACTCATTTCTTTATAATACTTTGGTTTTTTTTACTTTACTAACATGCAGGCAAAAGGGGAATTGTTTATTTTTCTTAAGGAAGGCTTAAGCATTGAGTGTATTTTAAATGTATTCCTCCCTTAAATATCAGTTGACTTCTCAGGAATGTTTCTCATCAAAATGGAAACAGTAAAACTGTTAGATATTTAAGATAAAAATGAGTTTAAGCTAGTTATTGTATTGACCTACTTTTACTTAGATATAGGTGAATTATGCCCCTTCTAGCACTTGAGTGTTTTGTTGACGGTTCCTAATTTCTTTAAACCTTGGCAGCAGTTAGGATAGCTGTCTTCATTTCATATATGGCAGTACTCTTGGGTTTGGTATCATCCGTTCTGTCGTCTTTGTTCACATTGTTTTTACTCGTTTTAAAATATGTTTCCAGAATTATACTTAATTGCTGGAAACGTTGATTTTTCTTGAGTGACAAACCAATTAAGTGTGTATGACACCAGGCAACAAAGACACTCAGGACTCTCTGCTTAGCCTGTCTCTGAAAAAATCCATTATTCATCGTCTTATTGTTTTTAAATACTGTGGTAGAATCTTCGATACAATAGGAAAATTGCTTTGGAAATGGGGTAAAGTGCTTGCCAGCTCAAAGGCTCCATTTCTGCAGTCAGGGTTGCTAACCAGGATGCTGCTCACACCGAGTATCTTTCAGACACGCTGGCATGCTTTTCTGCATTGAAATGGATAAGACTGTGACTTCCCCTAACGTGCAGCTCAGTAACTGGAAGAACTTAATGGAAAAGACAAAAGTCTTATCTTGTATATGTATCATAATATACTTAAGTGGTGTTTTGAATTTTAATTGCATTTTATATAAATATTCATTTTCTCGTTGGCTCTTTTTAAAGAAGTCGTGTTATACAAAAAAATAAGAAAAAAGGAATTTTTAACAGGGAACGTTAATTCTGTTTTAGGCCTATACACAGATCATATAATTTTTTGCCTAAATTATCTAAAATGATTACTGTGGTAAGGCAGCTGTGTGATGGTAACTGGAGTTGTTGTGAAGGGTGGGTTGTATGGAGAGACAGAAATGGGGCTTGTTTGATTGGTGCAGTGAGGTGTTCAAAAGATGGGTGTAAATAAGTGACTGCAACATCTCCTAACATACTTGTTTTCAACAAAGGTCTTTTACCTTGTTTTTAGTGACAGATGGTATTCAGTTATGTATTTAACCAAGTCTAACCATAAATATTAAAGTTTTTCCATGCTTTTTGGGTGCACTTTTAAACAGCACAGCACAGTGGTGATATCTTTGTAGATGAGTCTCGTATACATTTTAAGTTTTCATGGGATAGTCAGAACCAGTGGTTAACGTTTACTTTACAAAAAAAAAAAAAGGTCTCTGGATCCTTACAAATTCCTCTCCTGTCTGTTCGTACCTTTACCCAGGTACCAGCTGGAGGATGACTCTGCCCATTTGGATGAAATGCCACTGATGATGTCTGAAGAAGGCTTTGAGAATGACGAGAGTGACTACCACACGTTGCCACGAGCCAGGGCCATGCGGAGGAGACGAGGGCTGCCGTGGTTCCTCTGTGGAGGGTGGAAGTTTCTCTGCACCAGGTGTGTGGTCCTGGCACTGAATTACCTGTGCACCTAATCACCTGCACTGTTATGTTATGCATAAGCTTAGCTTTTACTGTACTTACTGTATATCTAGCTAAATAAGATGCTCTCTAAGTGGTGTCATGGAGAGGGTTAGTACATCAGTCAGATCCAAGCAGTGCCGATCTGAAAGGCATGGACAGCCAGGTTCACTTTTTCCTGAGATTTTTTTTTTTTTTTTATAGCAATTAAAAAAATATTTTTCAATTACAGTTTACATTCAGTATTATTCTGTATTAATTTCAGGTGTATAGCATAGTGGTTAGAAAATGATGTACTTTATAGATGTTTTAAAGTTTAAAAGTGGAGAGAATTTGTGACTTTGTAATTAATGCATGGTAAAATTAGTTCTGTCCCGTATCAACATTTATAAACGGTTTCTTTCTCTTTCGTCTATAATTCCACTCCCACTTCAGAAGATAGACATGGACCTATAAAATGCAATTTAATTACAGAGTAGCTGCGCATATTATTACTTTAATGCTTTGACTTGGAGTAAGAGTCTTCTCTTCATTTAAACCAGAGAGAAATGAAGATAAGAATTTCTCATATTTTAAACGAGTTCACTGGTGGTTGAGGGAAACACGCTGTGTGTGACATGTATGAAATCTGTTCACCTTTGACTCTAGAGTTTGGTTTGAAAGCACATCATGTGTCTAGGACACTTTGCTACCGACGTAACTCTCCACTCTGGGGCAAGCAGGACAGGATTGAGGAGACCAGTGCCATCATGATGTGGGTGCAGCATGTCCGATAAGGTGCAGCTTTTACAGCTGTTCTGCTGTTCATGGTGTGTAGTTGGTGCCTTCATCCGACCATGAACTTACACCCTTTGCCCATGAAAGGAGTGTAAATAATTGTGGAGGTGTCGTGTTCATGGTCCTCATTATCCTGTAGAAGTGTGTGGACAGACGCGTTTATACCTGATTTCATTTCTGGGTCAGCTCATGAAGTGGACCCCCAGGCACTGAGGAGTCCCTTAGGGAGGGCAACGTGGAACCAGGAGATGAACTGGGCAGGGTTAGGCTCTCACCCTGCCTCTTTCAGGTAGAGTAGCCCCTCTTCATGTTTCTTATGTGTTGTGTGCTTTTCACATGAAGAAGAGATTTTGTGGCTAAACAGTGTTTTACAAATTGCTGACTTTTGATACTAATTTAATAATGTTTCCATGACTTAAAAAAAACACCAAAACATTTTCTAAGTTAAGGAGCCAGTATTCCAGGGGTTTCTTTGTGGGTGCACACTCAATTCTAGGGCTAATCTCTTAACAGATGTAGCACCGGGCAGATGTTTTGTTTAGTTGTTCTGTGTCAGTTGTGATGCTGGTGCTTTTCAAGGGGTTTGTCTATTTTCAAATTTATATTTAAATTCTGTTGATCTAGCTAATGCATGTGGCTCTGCAGGGATGTCCCTTCTTTATTCCTGATATTGGTGACTTGTCTCTCTCCCTTTTTTCCGTTAATCTTGATAAGAGATTGTCAGTTTTATTCTTTTCAAAGAGCCAAACTTTTGGTGTTGTCTTTGTTTTTGAAATTTTATCTTGAAATAAATTCAAACTAAGGTCAATGCTGCTTTTTATACTCACATATGCCCCCCCCCCCC